GGAAATTAACAAACGACCAGAGACGTAACATAATGTTTTATGAGAAGTATAATTCATCATTATCATGTAATCATGCTTCACCGGCTTAGAAAATGCATTCACATCATAAAACAACATGCTTGCTCCCCTTCTTTATTGCAACTGAAACAAGCAGTAGCATAAATATAAAGATGGTACAAATTCCCCAATTTTTTGTTCAACTTCACATCACATTTTTACAGGGTTTGCTCTTTTTTTTTATTATAACTTGACTTTTTTTTCTGATATTATATCTTTATATGTCTGACCCCTTTATTCTAATTTGGCTTTTCTATACTTGTAACATATTTTCATAACATTATAATCATGTTGTGGGGTAGCAAAAAGACGAGAATCAAGCCAATAAAGAAGATAAAAATGCATTTGGACCTTTTATAACGCAAAAAATTGGGTTTCAATACCCGCTGCGAGAAGAGCTTTGGATTTAAAAACAAATGAGAATCAAAAACTTTGGAAAGTTTCCCTTCCGAACTTCTGACAGCGCTAGAAACGCTTAGACAGTGTAAAGCTTTAATTACATGGCTTCACTTACCTAACATTGTTCACGTTTTTAAACATTTGAGAAAAGAAATGCCAATAGGAAATTTATATTCAATATTTATTTTTAATAACAACTTACATTTACATAAATAAAGGCTGTAAGAGTTACGAAGGTTAATAAAGTAACATTGATGAAAATATTTTGTTAGAGATATAATGCTATACCAATACTGTTGATAGATATGATAAATACGATATCCAAGACTTAGAAAAGTGTGTTAATTAAATATTACTAAAATTATATTTTTTACTTTTAAACTGATTTTTTAAAATTATAATCAGAGGTCTGTATAAAAAGCGGAGTAAAGTATCGATACAATTTTATACAGTTTCTCATTATCGTTACTAGGCTTTATACAATTATTTAAGTGGTATTGGTTAGCGTGAATATAAGCTGACTATGTACAGATAAATTTAAATATGGTTTGCAAACACTAGAGTTAATAGCTTCAGAGTGAATTTTATGATCTCACCTTCATGGAGAGGATCGATGGAGTGGATCATCAGCTGCAGTAAGCCATGTCGGAACTTTGTACCAGCGTGAAGTATGGGGGTACTCATTCGTCGCTTGGCAAACTAGAGAAAACAATCAGACGTGCTTAGTGTTCTAACTTTGAAATACAGAAAAAACTCTGACCACCACCGTTTACTGTCTGTGAGTCAATATTTCACATGGTCTGCTGATTGTTCAGACGTGAGTGATTTGCAGAAACTTTTGTAGGCAGGAAGAACTGAAGAATATTGATGATAACCAACCAAGAGCCCATGTTGGAAAACGTACACGAATGTGGAGACAGTATCAAATTAAAGTTGATTTAGTGAAACAAAACATTGAGGATAGTAAGATAATGTAAAATTAATTAAACGATCTATCTTATCGAGTATGAATTAAATTAGCACATTGTATGTGAGTACTGATAACAGAAAAATCATTTCTCACGGATACATATTGTGTCTACAATTCTGAAATTACAAAGAGGTATTAATAGAAACTTCATGGCTAACTGAAAAGTAACAGTTTATATTCTAGATGATTATAACATCTTAATTGTTTTTTTGGTGTGCAAGTGCTTTACTTCTAATTAACAATAGCGTAGGCCTCCACCTTTAGTTCACAACTTCTCAGTAACTTAGGTCTCATTTAGGCCAACGTTGAACCTTTTGTAACACATTTTCTTAGTTGAACTTAAATTTGAGATAAAATTGTATTCTTTGCTAGATTTTTGATTTTGAAAGTGACATTAATAATGCAGTGTATGATATAAAGCTTATGTTGCTCATTTCAGTTTTAAGTAACTGACTAAAGTAACGTCAAACTACTCACAAACACATCCATTTTAACAGTTGTAATGGATAAGACAAACCATAGGACATTTATATCATACAACAATATTAGACAATGAATAACGAATTCGACAAAATGTCATAACATTATTCACACACCTAAATTAATTTAGGTTACTATATGGTGAAGTACAATGGACCCAAAACTCATAGATATTATACACACTTCACCATTATAAGAGGCCTAACTGAATTTCTTTGGTTTGCTGACCCAAGCTATACTGATGAGCCTTGAATAAACGAAACTGCATTATACAGCAAATGGTACGGCCAATTAAAATATGTATTAGGCCTCTACGTCATAGATTCTCGTTCCAATTTCACCTCTGGTGAAAAATAAAAGAAATCCTTAACCTATATATGTATCAACAATTGTTATGGTATGAAAGCCTTTTATATGCTGGCGAAGCGTGATTATAATCAAGTGTTCTTGTCATAAGACATTATTAACACTACATTCCTAATCATGTCCCTTAGATATTCTTAAGAATTAGAAGGTTGTATAATAATAGTATTTAAAGTACACTTAATTTTAAATGACACTATATACTAGATGGCATATATAATTAGTATTCCTTTTACTACTGTGTTTGCTGTATCACTTAGGGGCTAATTATCAAGATTATTAGATTTATTACTGTATTAAATGTAGCCCTAATTGGATCTTTTGATAAACATGGTTTTTTGTCTTATGAAAAACAATAATAATATCTGCGGACATTATTTAGAATTTTTGATGCCAGTATAAGCCGATAATACCGTTACTTTCACGAAGACTGACTTATACACGCTATAGAGTTGTACAAATATCAAAACAATATTCTGCCTTGACTTTAAATATGACGTTCGATGACACATATAACATCATATGCACTCCAGCCCATATAAACGCCGTAGTTCAATCTCACTATTCAATTCTCGGCATAGGATTTTCAGATCCCCGCCGCCCTGATGGACCATCAGTCCGACATCGGCCGTTTAGTTTAGTCTACTTTGCTTGTCACTTTTTATTTTTACCGTTACTCTCACGTTTGCCCTTTTTAAATTTACATACCTTGTCTGCATTAATTTCCTGTTTTCTTAAGTTAAGCCCATATTCCTAGACCACGAGCGGGGTGAAGGAGGATTGTTCAATCTTCGAATACTCTTGATTAGTAATTATTTCTTAGGATAACTTAAAATAACTGCCAAGAACAACAACAACGACTCACTATTCATTGGTCAAGAGTGTACTGAGAGTTGGTAGTCGTAGTGTTGACTAGGTGACTTCCCTCTAGTCCAGTGGTTCCCAACCTGGGGTGCGATATTTCAAATCTTGGGGGTGAGAGGATAGGGTCCAGAAAAACAACTTTTTTTGTTCATTTGCCGTTGCCGTTTTTACTAAATAATTCGTATAAATTCGGGAGCAGAATATTGCTTACGATCTTCAATTAATTCACTATTGTGATTCTTTCTTCCTGTTTAATTTTTTTTCTTAATTAAAAATATTCATTAATTAGTACTTAATAATTTGACCTGAAAAAAAATTAACCTTTTGCTTTTAACTCTGGGGTGCAGGATGGCATTTCAAAATCTCAAGGGGTGCCAGCATTGAAAAAGGTTGGGAACCACTGCTCTCGTCTATCACTTCAAAATTAGGGACAGATAGCCTTCGAGTAATTTGGCGTAAAAATCAACGAACCAACCAACTTTAATGTTTCATGTACATGTTTACTTAAAAGCAACGCATACGACACATAAACACACTTTTACATTATCCATGATTACAGTACAAAAATTTTAAAGAGCTCTACTGGAAATGGATCCCGATTTCTTGTTTGTTGAAAGATCATATTTCAATAAGCCCAAATTAAGGAGCATAGTTCAACTTCTGAAACGAGATAATTCATTCTTTAATTTTATCTAATAATTACATAAATGTTTTTTTAGTTGTTTTATAAAAAAAACAAACAACTCCGTCATTTATCATTCAACCAGATTTTTTAAATCTACTAAATTATTAGCATTCATTTCCTTAATTCGTTCTTTGTTAGCATATCATCCTTGAGTATATGTTGGATAAGCTTCGCGTTGTTTCCTGAGAAGTGAATATCACGCACGACTGAGATCATTTAGTTAAACAAGAAGAAACGATTCTATAGAAATTGTTCTTCACTTTCTTTCAACCCTTAAGTACTGATACTATTACGAATCCCTTGTGATACGAGTCACATTCTGCAGGGAACAGTAACGGGTTTAACACGTAAAGTGACTCACGATAAAATGTGTAGCTTAATTATATCTTAACACTTTAAAGTATACAGGACAACTACGATAATTAGAATGTACGTTTATCAACGACATTATATAAGTACTTCCAACTCACTGACTGAATTATTTTTTAATCTTGTTATTTTAGTAACGAATGTAACACTTAAATGTAATATGGTTACCGTTAAAATTGTATCAGATTTTGCATAATATTTTTATGCACTTTTCCTGTGCATCTTTTCGTATCAGATTTTGCATAATATTTTTATGCATTTTTCCTGTGCATCTTCGTTCGCTCTTAATACTAGAAATAAACGCCCTTATAACATCAAATTTGTTAGTTTTCTTTAACTGAACCCTCATCGCTTCGCTTTACAGATTCTTCAGGAGCATTCAAAAAACTTCGAAGCTTTGTACTGTAAATTACGGTTTGTGTCTTAGCGGAACGCTCTGGAAAAAACTGTAAAACGAGACTTTGAGTGTTCACTTAGAGAATCCCCCCAGTGGCACAGCGGTATGTCTGTGGACTTACAACGCTAGAATCCGGGTTTCGATACCCGTGTTGTGCAGAGCACAGATAGCCCATTGTGTAGCTTTGTGCTTAATTACAAACAAACAATTAGAGAAAAAAAATAGTGTTATAAGATTGTTTATTTCTAGTATTAAAATGCCTTTCATACATTAATATGCACTACAGAAATTGAATAATTCGTTCGCTCTTACTCGTGATAACGTTTGTTCTATACGGTTTTTTAAGAGTGCTGTGTGAGTAGAAGTTTCAATAAATTCTTTCCACAAGATAATATTCCAACGGAGTTTGTTATTGGGAGGATTATTTTTGTTTATCTGGTGAAAGGAAGAACTGCAAAGTGTAGGCTACTTAATAGTACTAAAAGCTTTCATTTCTTCAACTGTATATTGTACAAATTGACTTAACTACACTAATAGGTCTACGTTCTCAGTAGACGCTAACACAACAATTTCGCTTACTTGCTAATTTTTCGCGCTCAATAAATGGTACAACATATTACATACTCTAGAAAATAATTTAATATTCCAAAATTGAATTACTTGACTAAAACTTCAATCAAACAAGAATTCACTATTCCAGTCTCAAAGTAAGTTATTAATAAACTCAAAAATCAATAATAAAGTACTTTAGCCTAACTCGCATCTTACATTCAAACTTTTAAAACTTTGGACAAAATCCCATATGTTAACCAACTCGCTCATCACGTGGCGTCAAACGCCCATCTGGCCAAACAACAATATATACACCAAAAACTGTACACTAAAAACATAATTTACAACAACAAGATGGTAACAGAGAAGCATTTTATGTGGTCGCCATCTTATCTACATAAACTTGGTTTAACATCATTTGAAAACGGAACAATTATGACCTCTTACATTATAAGATATCACAAAGAACCAAGTGTATTGGCTCATTTATCCTTATTCTTGCTACAGTGACCAATATTAAGCGATTATTAAAGAAACCGTTTTGGTAATTTTAAGCGTTTTCGTAAAACATATATACATATTTTTACAGATAAATATATTGATATATTCGAAGGCGAAACTCAGTTGTAGTTTGTATTTCTAAACCCCTTAAGAGTGGCAATTAAAATATGCCATATTTGACTGAATTCCATTCAATGCGCCCCAGTAGCACAGCGGTATATCTGTGGACTTACAGTGCTAGAAGTCGGGTTTCGTGTTGGGCAGAGCACAGATAGCCCATTGTGTAGCTTTGTGCTTAACTTCAAAAAAACACACCTTTGATTCAATAATTTCTGTTATTATTATTATTGTCGATTTAGCGCGGAACTACATAATGGACTAAATGTGTTCTGTTCATTGCGGGGAATCGAACCACGAATTTTAGCATCGTAAGTCTGGAAACGTATCACTGATTAACTGGGGATCTAATAATTTCTGAAAATACATTATTGTAAAGCAGATCGACTCGCATTTTAGTC